CACGTAAATATCATGTTTTTAATCTAAGTCTCCTTAGTCTTCCTATAAAAGCTCTCCTCATTGTAATTGTAGCCCCCCAAGAATTAGGTCAAAACATGCACCTTAATTATTTTTTTCAAGTGGAGGTTATATATTTTCTAGCCGAACCTACCATGCAATCGCATGACATTGATAGTTGTAGTTTGCATAGTTGTGTTATAAAACTCGTTGTTAATCATTTCGCGATCGCAACGGTTACACCTTTCAATCGCAAGGTCTAATCTTTGCTTCCTCTTTAAGTTGGTCCATGGATTTCTTCTTTCATTCAGCTTGAGCCCCATATTATTTGGACTATGGGTGCTTCATCTTTAAATTTTTACAAACTAATCGTCATCATTCCACATTACTCTTAACTGATCCTATGCAAGATTTGAAAGTCTGTAATTGAGTCCCAAAACATTTTAAATGTTAGATTTAGCTCCCAAAACTTGTTATTCTCTTTTGATTACTTTCTTAATTCTTCTAACTGATCATAAACAATCTAGATAATCTTCAATTGCTCCGAATCAATTCCTGTTAAGCTCAAAATCATATATATATATATATATATATACACACACACATTTTTTTTTCACATCAATTGCACTCAATTTGGGACCTACAATTAATATATTTACACTGCTAAATTATGTCTCGTAATTAACCATTATTAATCAAACTTAGAAGCCCGAATAAGTGTGCACAATGTATTTATTCAGTGGCGGATCCAAAAATTACCATGAGCTAAGGCAATCGTTGACCGTTAACTATTGATCATCGATGGTTGCAATAGAAAAATCGTTTATCAATATTTAATTAAAAATATTAATAAAAATTTAATCAATAAATAAATGAACTAAAACGTAAAATCATATAAACATAAAAATATTATCCAATACAACCCGATATTATAAGAAAAAAATACATTGTACAAGATTTCTCCACTTTGTAACTATAAGCCAAGACAACTGCATTATTCGATGTCTCATATTTTGAAAGCGCTGCAAAATTGCCTCCTTATAAATTTTTCAACAAGTAATTCAATTGTTGAAAATAAATTTAAAAAATAAGTTTTAAGAAAGGTGATAAACAAGACTTAGAAGTCCATATTTAAGAAAGGTGATAAAAATATATTTTTAGTAAGGTAAATTGTTCAAGTTAAATCTATACAAAGTGTATTTTAAAACATAAAAATTACTTGAAATAATGATTCATTTTCTCAAACATAATCAAAGACTCAAAGCTAATAAAGCAGTAGAGCAAGGCTAAACAAATGCCAAAAAAATGATGTGACTTGTTTAACTGTGGCATATTCTTTTCCCACATAAAACAATGCCAAACTATATAACCCTAGTGGCAGTATGTGAATCTTATCAACATTGTGAGGGAGGGAGGGACCCTTGTGTTAACAAAAAGTTTTGCATAGAATATTTGTTGAACAGTTGTAAATTGGAGTCTGTTTGGGGTCCAGAATATCCAAGCCAGGCTCTATGATTAGAAGATTAGAGAATTGGTTGTACTGTATATATTCTCATCCCACAATTCCTCACTTTGCAACATTTTATTTATTTAATCTTAAAGTGAAATGTACAACTAATTAAAGCATACCAGCAATCTGGAATTTGTTGTTGAAAAGTGCTTGTAATTAATCATTGCATGACTTTATTTAAAGAACATATTTTTAATTTAAATGTGTGACGAAACACTAGACAAATGAGAGGCCAATATTTTTTTT